ACTATATTGATTGCATAAAATGTAATAAATATATACTTTTTATAATTTTGAGTGATCATGACCAATTAATTAGCTGAAAAATATTACATTTATTATAACAATTGTTTATGTGATTTTAAGAAATTTTACTATGACATAAAAAAAATTAATTTATTAATAAACAACCGCTTCATCATATAAAAAATATTGATTTTAGTGTAAAATATAATTTTATGTAACTTTTATATATTATTTAGTATAAAATATAATTACTAATTTTAATATTAACTATTACATTATTCAATAAAAAATATAATTATTAATCAATTAACATAAAATATAATGGTTTTTGTCTTAATTAACAAAAAAAATGTAATAAAATATTTTCTTATTAATGAGATTGGGTGTATTAATGCCACATAAATAAAATTTATTAGGTTTTATTAATGATTTGCCACATAGGTAAAATTTATTAGGTTTTATTTATTAGGTAAAATTTATTGCTTAGCTAGCAATTATATATATATAGATAAGAACTACGGAAAACAATATACAACACTAGTTATTGCCATAAATATTTTTCCTATAAATGTGCAACCAATGCGTTACGAAGTTCATAGTGGACAGACTTATCCTTGATTCTTTTCTGTCGAGCAAGAAATTGTTGGAATAACCGTAGGAGCACCAAATTGAACATCACTTCTAATTAGTGCACTAAGATCACGTTGATCTTCGACATTCATATTGTTCAAATTAATACATGCTTTCATTATATCATTAAGCACCTCTCTTTTCCAAAAACAAACAGGACCGCGACGATTGCAAACCTTTTTTGCAGAACTCCAAATGCACGATCAACATCTTTTCTATATGCCTCTTCTCTCATTTTAAAGTATTCCTCCATTGGATTTGATGGTGCAACAAAAGATTGAACAATAGTGGACCATTTTGGATATATACCATTTGATAAATAATAGCCCATATTAAACTGTTTACCTTGAATGATATATTTAGCTGGTGGAGCGATACCTTCAGCAAGATTTGACATTAGAGGTGATGCTTCCAGCACATTAATGTCATTATTGGCACTTGGCATACCAAAATATGCATGCCATATCCATAGATCATAATCTGCCACAGCTTCCAAAAAGATTGTTGGTTTACCGAAACGTTCAGAGTATTGACCAGCCCATGCCTTAGGGCAATTCCCCCATTCCCAGTGCATGCAGTCTAAGGTACCTAACATACCTAGAAAACTATGTTGTTCACCAATATGAAGCAATCTAGTGATATCATCGTGATTTGGTAATCTTAGATATTGTGCTTCGAAAACTTCAACGACTCCACGACAGAATCTCTTTACGCATTCATTCGCCGTTGACTCAGCAATCTTAAGATATTCATCGACACCATCCGCAGGGGTTTTATAGGCCAACTGACGAAGCGCCATTGTCCCTTTTGCATATGTTGACAATCCAAGTCGACCAAGACTATTCCGGTGTTGTTAGAAAAAACTATCATGATTTTCGAATGCTTGCATAACACGCTTGAAATTATGAATAGAAATCCAAAACCTTCGACGGAATGTATTTGCATCGTATGTTAGATTACTACAAAAATAATCTCTAAATAGAGTGCGATGGGCCTCCACCCAATCATGTTGGACTACTCTATGTCCTGGAACAGAACCTCCCCATGTTGGTTGGCTACTTTGCGCAGAGATAGCATGTGCCATAAAAAAAATTGTTGGTTTGCAATATATGAGAAGTGGTTGTTTCCAAAGTGTTATCAAATAGAGGTAATGAAGCATTTGCATCTTCCTCATCAGAATCATAATTATAGGGAGAAAGATAATTCATTGTGAATGGTATTAGAAGGAAATATTACAGAAATATTCGAGAATGAATGTAATATGTAGCTTGGATGGTATGATGTATAGTTTCATGTTTATATAGACGAATGAATAAATAAAACAAATAAATGTTTTCTTCATTGGATTCTTTTTCAGACAAGGTCGTGTGAAGTGAACAAATTTGACCAATACAATGACAAGTGCAATAATTTCGGACAAGGCCATGTAAAACATTATTACTTTACATTATTTTTAGAGTTGGTGCCGGGGCTGGTGGTGGTTGTCTGATTGGTGGCTGGAATAGCAGTGGTTGGGGCTGGATCTGATGGTAGTTGGTGGCGGGGCTGGTGGTGGTTGCCTAGTTGGTGGCTGGAATAGTAGTTGCTAGGGCGGAGCTGGTGGTGGTGGCGGGTGGCAAGCGCATATGAAACAGGCGGCGACGGGAGTGGAGGAAACTGGCGGTGGCGGGTGGCGGTAGGCAGAGTGTCGCCGGTGAACATAACGTGTGTGTGTTTGCGTCGGATTGGTGTGTGTTTGTGTGTGTAAGTTGGTGAGATTAGAGTAATTGGAGTGGGCCCCATTATTAATTGATATTTATTATATAATGACTAAAATACTCTTAAAAAAATGGTCAAATAGATATACTAGACCACACTATAATTAGACAATTACCAGATTGTCATTAATGATTGACCATAGTTTGACTTCATCATAACCATTTATATGGTTGATCATATGGTCCAGATTTGTTCTTATTTCTTTCACTATCTACCATTCTCATATGATTCTAACTCTCTCTCTATATATATAAATTGTTATTCTTATTATATATATATATATAAACAGTTTTGGAAAAAATGTTATTCTTATTATATATATATTACTAAAAATGATTTTTTTTTTTTTCAAAACAACACCCAAGAAGGGTGGGGGGTTAAGGCCGGACCCCCAACCTATATATAAAATGTTCCTAAATGGACTGAGAAGTCACAAATCTACAAGTCCAATGTCCGATATACATTAAGCCAAACGAAAACGAAAACAAAAACAAGAAAAAGCTGACAATAGCAGCAAGTAAGACAAAAATATCATATCCTGGTCCGGGAAGAGTCCAGGTGAAAAGTCAACATCACAAGGGAGCAGATGCACCAAAAGGCAGGACCGGCTATACAAATCTGAATGAAAGGTATCTCATCTGGTCCATCCGTATAAGGGTACGAAGGCGAGAGGAATTTCGTCAGGATAAAGAATGCGTCTCTGGGGGGTGGAGGATCCGATACCAGCGAGGAAGTCAGCAGGTCGGTTCCCCTCGCGGAAGATGTGTGAGATCCGAAACGAATCGACCGAAGTGTGGCTCTACGCATGAGAGGATGTTGAATCTGCCACGTGCCCTGATAGCCAGAGGTCAAGAGAGTGATGACAGCAGCAGCGTCCAAGTCTATCCAAATGTGAGAGGAGATCGAGGCAGCAATCTGAAGACCGATCTGAAGCGCCTGAACCCATGGATTTCAAAACCGGACCAGACCGGCCGGTCCGATTGGTTCGACCGGGAACCAACCCATACAGCGGTCCGATCTGGGTGTTAAACCGCTTGGCAACAACACCAGTTAAAAACCGTTCTGGCCGTTCGTAAAACAGTAAAACCGTAGAACCGGTATTGGTTATATCGGCCCAACGGCTTCTACCATTCTGCTCGATACTGTTCGGCCAACGTGACTTTCCCGGCATTAGATCCATGTGGCCGATCCAGTGAACCGGTTTATTCTTTTGAGTATATAATATTCCATATCAGTTGCCCAACGGCTTCTAATTTAATAGCTTGTGCTGACTTTTTCCTTATAATCTTTTCACTTCTTTGATAGTTATTCGATGTGGTACAAGAGTTGTTTCCACTTTTCACATCTCCCTTCTTTTGCTTGTGGCGTGGGCCAAAAAAGGCCCACTGAATATTAACTGTTTGGGCCTTTTTTAAGTTTATGCAATGCAATTTGCAGTCTGGGCCATTTTTTTTATGTCTATGCAAAGTTTCAAATGGAAAATTTTTTTAAATTCAAAACTAAAGCCAACTTAAGAAAAAAATAAAATAAAAATAAGACANTAACACTTTAACGTTTAATCTGATAATGATAAAAATGTATACAATTATATATTATACATCTAAAATTGATGATAAAAAATAAATACAATTGTTTTGTATATAGAGAAATGTAATTATACACTATAAAATTAATGATACAAATATATGTAATTATATATTATACATATTAAATAAATAAAAAATTGTATATTAATTAAACCGGTTCGATTACTTGTCTGACTAGTGAACCATTGAATCGGTAGTTTCACTGGTTCGATGATCGGTTCGGTTTCAAAACATTGTCTGAACCTCCACGTCATAGCTCGAAGAGGCTCGAAGAGGGGCATGGAAAGTGGTAATAAGAGCACCGCTATGGTCCCTAATTAGACCCCTACCTCGGTCAAAGAATCCGTAAGCTTAACCCAAGAAGGCTTGAGTCTCAGCCAAACAACAATTCTGGGTCGTAGATGTTGGACAGGCGACAGTGCAGGTGGTGCAAAGAGGTGATAGGAAGAGCATCTCCAATGTGAGATGTTGACTTAATAAAATGTTAGGCACATCATCAAGTTATAAAGTGATTACAAAAATTACTCTCCAATCCATAATGTTATGGACTCTTTTATACTGATATGGAGACAATAAATATCCAAAATGTGAAACCCACTTTCTAGTTTTCCAAAGAGTATTTGAAAGCCAATTCATAAAAAATCTAACATATTTTAAGCTTTTGAAAGGGATGCATTGGAGATGTGCATTCCAAATTAAAGTCTTCTCTTTTGACATTCATATTACATAGATTTATATTTCATTCATCATTTGACATGTATTTAAATTTAATTAATGTTCAAATTGGAGTGGAGATGCTCTAAATAAGATTTTACCACTTTTTACCAACGCACAATCCATTGAACCGCACCTTGGAAAATGGAGGAGCTTCTCAATAAAAGTCGAGACCGCTGTTTCTCACTCAGCACTCAGCACTCAGCACTCAGCACTCAGCAAAGCAGTAGTTCCCGAAGAAGCTCATAACTTTCGTAATGCCTTTCACCTCTCCCAGTTTGTCCTCGTGCTTCTCCTTCAACCTCAATACCACACAGACACCCACAATTTCAAAAACCGTAAATTCAACCCTAAAATCGGCGATCCCCTCAGTCTCATGCAGCAATCCGGCAAAATCAAAGAAAAACTACCCTGATTTGTTGGGCAACGGTGGACATTGTTCGTGTTGTCCGAGAAGACACCTCTTCGGGTCGATGTTGGGAGTTGGGTTGTTTCCTGTTTTGCCCTCGTTTGCCTCCGGTGATGAGACAAGTCCCCAAAATGATAAGGTATGGATTCTGGGGTTTCTAAATCCAGTGTTCTCATATGTGTTTGGGATCAGTATAAGGGTTTTTGGCTGTTTCTTTAGTTCTGTAGTATTGTACTGTGATTAGGGTTATTCTGATGTTCGCTGGCAAAATTGATCATGTAACTTTAAGGCAGTAGTAAAATCGACATATAAAAATTAGTAGTGTATAAGATTTAAGGATCTTGAGCTTTGGTAGTGTAAAAGATACTTTTAAAGTTTAGTTTACATTTTCTTGAAAACGTATAACCTCTTACTTTATAAAAGTGAGTATTTACTTTAAAAGTATCGCCGTTTCATGTAGGAGCTATATGAGAGACAGTGTCATTGTAGCTTTTGCGTGAATTTAATTATACCTCTTATTTCACCTGGTTGTTGGTTTCAATCATGTGAGTAGCCATGGAGCTCTTTAATGTCTGAATGGGGGAAGGACAAAAATTTAGATTTTTATTTAGTAGGACTGTTTTGCATTCTGTAATGTACGATCCAAATGGAGATTTTTATTTAGTCACAGGATTATTGTGCAGATACTACATTTTTTAGTACAGTTTTGGTTACATTCTAAATTACGGGGCTAACTTTGCTGTTTTTACAATTTTCTACTCTGTTTAGTATTTTGTTATCCTTGTTGTTCAAACACTCTCCTGGTACTTCTCGGTTAATTTAGTTAAGCATGATAAAGCCAGTTTTTTATTTCTGCATTTTGTGAGGATTCTACCTTTTTGGATTTTGCTATTGCTTCAAGCTTCCAAAGTTTCTACTCGAATAAACGGCCAAGAATGTACTTGTTACTCTTGTCGGATTCCCGTGTAAACAAAGTTGGTTTCTAAGTCAACAGGTTTTGCAGAAGATTAAGCACATGGACTCCATCGGCAAAATTTCCAACGGTTGACCGAGTGAATGAAATTGGGTTTTTTTTTTGTTTATTCTTCTTGAAACTATAGAGCTTTTTGGCAAATGCTGATTTTTGCAGGACGATTGATAGAACCAGCATTAAATACAATGACAATTTACCATTTAGCCTGCTAGTTATAAATTTGCATGCCTTGAGACCTAAAATGTTTGACATCATGTTTCATTTCAATGTCAGTCATTGCATGATACTAGGATCGAAAATTAAGTACATTTATTTGCTTCTTTCAATTTAGGTAACATTGAGTAAAATTCGTCCCCCGAGGCCTGATTGGTACGAGGAGTTCTATGCATTAGCTATGGACAAATTAACAAAACCTTATGAAGCAGAGGTCAGTGGTTCTTCCTATTTATTTTTTTAATAGTGCTGAATAATACAACAGCTATAAGTCATCTCAAATTTTGTGCTGGTGTGATGGACAAGATTGCAGCTTACAAGTCACAGCTTTTTGCTAAATTGAAAGGGAAGCCAGACAATATTTTGGAGATTGGTGTCGGCACTGGTCCAAACCTTAAATACTACGCTGATTATCCAGGTGTCAATGTTTTTGGAGTTGATCCAAATAGAAAGATGGAAAAATATGCGCAGGCAGCTGTGGAAAATGCAGGACTTATGCTTTCAAATTTTAAGTTTATTCAAGGTGTACGTATCTAATTCGACACTTTGTAATCGTGTTAAGCTTTCTTGATTTCCATGATGTATCAGTCCCTTGAAATATTTGTCTTGAAGAAGATATTTAGATTGGTTAGTAGTACTTTGTATGGGAACATGGTTATTTGGGCTATTATTTAGTACCGCTCAAGCTTTTTTGTATTATAATTATTAAAATAATAATTATTTTATTATTTTGGTAATTTTCATTTTTTTTTTCTTTTTTCTCTGTTAATGCAGGTAGCGGAAGCTTTGCCCGTAGACGATGCTTCAGTTGATGTTGTTGTTGGAACACTCGTCCTTTGTTCTGTAAATGATATTGACCAGGCATTGCAAGGTATGTTTATAGCTGATTCAGTTTTCCAACTCCAAGTCCTTTTTTATATATCAAAAAGTAGATCCCTTTCCCTGCTTTCTTTTTCTGGCTCGGCAATGGCAGATCATATTCATGCACAGACTCAAATGTTCTGAACAGGGATTCAGGTTGTAATTCTCCACTGAATTTTAATGATCCAAACAACGGGTTTTTAATTTTTAATGTAAAGCATGAGCATTTAAATTTTCTAAGGACCAGAGAAAAGTTAGAGTAAAAAATTAGGTTTTTGGTTCGAAAAGGGGCTTAAGAAAAATTAGGGTGAAAAACTAGTGCTTGGGCTCGAAACAGCTTACCTATTATAACTTCTGATCTCTCACAAGTTTTTTTGTGGCAATGCTATGGGAATCTTTAGTGGAATGGTGTATTTGTTAAAATGTCCATGCCAGAATGAATTTGTTTCAAAAATTTTTTTCTCCAATGCAATTATTTTTTATTCATTTGTGACAAAAAGTAAACTCATGAGAAGTTCGCTTTAGCACCTCAAAGTAGACCACCACTTACATAATAAATATTATATATATTTCAGTTCAAGTTTCTTCCTTTTTAAAATCTTGTGCGGTTGAGTAATAATGAAGTCGATTTATTCTCATTGTGTAACGGACATGGTCTATTGGTTTGCCACGTAGGTATGTAATTACCAATACATTATACACCTTTGCATTGAAGATGATCTAAAGTAGCATATGTAGAATCATACTAGAAAGAAAGAAGCACGTGAATCAGAATCTTAACAGATTACTCTCCAAAATAACAAAATAAACGTAGTAACATTATGCAGGATGGAAAAATGTCATCCTTCGC